ATGAATCATTCTATATTAAGAGTTTTTTCCAATTTAATAAGTTTATTAACAAACTCATTAATTACCAACTGAGTTGGTAACCATCTGACTTGGTAACCATCTGAGTTGGTAACCATCTGAGCAGGGTAACTATCTGAGTTGGTGACTAAGTCGGTTAAAAACAGATGCTACCAGATGAAGGTTTTATCTGTCTTAATTTTTGCATAATATAGGATGTGGGTGTGGGTATGTGGGTACTCGTATAATCCGGTACCCAAACCCACACCCACACTCTTTTTAACCAACTTAGTCACCAACTCAGATGGTTACCAAGTCAGATGATTACCAAGTTAGATGGTTACCAACTCAGATGGTTACCAAGTCGGATAGTTACCAACGCAGTTGGTAATTAATGAGTTTGTTAATAAACTTATTAAATTGGAAAAAACTCTTAATGTAGAATGATTCATATTTGACTTGGTAATTTTCGGTCAAAAAAATTAGTCGGCGATATTGGAATCGGCGAAAATGGACTTCGGCGGAAGTGGAATCGGCGAAAGTGGACGTCGGCGAAAACGGAATAATTCTAATCATATGCATGCATATAGAATGCTTCACTACTAATCAAGTTTTGTACTCTTTCAAATTTTTACTAACGAATAAGGAAAAACTTATATAAAAAGAGAACATTATGAAAAAGAAATCTTCCTAATCTCATAGATTCAACGTACTTCATACTCTATTAATATCAAATTTCTCGACCTTTCGCTATTTTTATCTGAAATACTAACATCATTGAATACACTGCCTCTTTCTCATGTTATATATGAAAAAATTTGACAAAAACTTAAATTATCGTACATTTCTATATTTATCTATGTAGATAAAATTATTTCATCATGGTTTATCATTTATTTATTAAACTAGACAAAAAAATGAATTAGAATCATCAATAGACGAGAAATATCCTTCTCTTGAAATTCAACCTAAACTAAACTGGTTACTATTATCAACTTAACAGTTTTTCTTCGTTTAATCTTCAATAATTTCGATATATTCAGGTCGAACAAAACTAGCATGTTTTCTTTTTGCATCAAAATATCGAATAATTCCATCAGATCCATTTGAATCACCGCATGGGCTATCAAAAATAACACCAATAAATTCATCATAAATTCCACGTAACATACCAATATAAACAACTTCTCCATATCTTATATTTAACATTGGTTCATTTACTTTTACATACATTCCAATTTCTATTTTCTTCAATTTTATACGATTTAAGTCACATAATTTTCGTATTTGTTGTTTATTGTTATTTGATATTGACTGTAAGAGTGCATTTTGATCACAATATTTTCCAAGTTTATTTTTTTGAAGATAATCTTTTAATGTACCTTTACGTTGTGCATAAGCTTCATCAGACATTCGATATTTCTCTGGTAATCTATTAACATTATCAATATCGTCAGCATAACGATTTGAATCAATTAGAATTGTATCATTTTCATATAAATTTTTGATGTTACATAACAAATTATTATCTCGATCTATACTTAATTCTTGTGAATGTAATATAACAATGAGATTTTCTAATTTAATATCAAGTAATTGTTCAATATACAAACGAAAATCTCCTAGGGTCCATTCGGAAACAGGAAATCGACGTTTACAATAAAATGATTTCAGATTGCATTCAACTCTGAGAATTAAATTTTTACTCATTATTTTTATATCTCACTACAATAAAACACTTAGAATCGATAATTAGATAAATTAATTAATAAAAAAAACATCGATTGGCGCTTTTAAACAAGAGAAAACTTTATTTCAAATTAAAAAATAAAAGGAAAAATTTGATTTTTTGTTCGTTTTTCTTCATGTTGTTGTGGAAAATATAAATAATTATTAGTTGGATTTTGTAAATGACCTGTATTAACATGATGATGACAATGACAATGACAAC